TGTGTGTGTGTGTGTGTGTGTGTGTGTGTTGTTTTGAAAAGGGGGGAAGTGGGGGATTGCACGAATGTTGTAATTATAAAGTACAAGGCAAACTGATAAAGAAAGGTGTAAGTAAAGATTATGTCATTTTATATTCTCATTTAATGCATTCGGGTTCTATAGTTTGAACACATGGATTCCGCCTTGTCAGAAGCTGTTGTTACTCCTAGGGTTCCTTTCAGAAAGGGACGATGGCGTAGTGTGTTCCTACACTCCGCAAACTTAGTGAATAGAATCAACATCTTTACAAGGTGGCATCCTGGCATGCCGTGAACTTTACAAATAGACTTTGCTGTACGGGTTGGGTACCTTTGGTCAACTCTGTGCTCAGTGGTCTTTTTAAAAACGGTCTTTTAAAGAAGTCTCAGGTTTCTCCCTGCCATTCTTTCGGAGATGAACGTGAACTGGTTAGAAGGCCCTGCTTCGTTTGCATAAACTAACAATGTGTTTTCTGGTGGGCGAAAAACTCAGTCAAGTAACAAGTTTAAAACAAACTCGGGTCGTTTAAATTGTCTCCAATAAAATGGTCAAATATTTTTTGTTTTTTTCTTAAAAGTACTGAAGTGAACACAGAATCCCGTGCGATCACGAAAGGCTTAAATCTTGTCCTATATTTTATTTATAGACCGAGCCTAATCTTAACCCATCGATCCACATCACTTGCTCTCTAAGCCTCTCGTGAATCGACAAGTGACTCGGTGGCGAGATGTGCAGGGGTCACGATGGCAGAGTAATCTATTTTCAACCACGAGAGCACCTAAGAGTGAAAGAAAAGAATGGGGTGGAGGAATGAGAAATACTTCCATGCTTCAGTCAGCTGTGCCTGATGCTATTCTTAGGGGCCCGTGCGGAGTATGCCATTTACATGGTCTCGGGGTTACTCCAAGTCTGCGCGCCTCTTCGCGCCAGCCTGAACCCAAGCGAGTATTGTGCGTTTGTCAGATTGACTGCAAGATAGACATCAGTAGCGAGCCCGCTGGTCGGATCTGACTGTCGACTTCCCGCGTACACTTGGACGCCCGCGATCCGCGCGATACACCGACCGACAGGTCCACCACGCCAAGCGCGTCTCTCCACTCTCAACACTGAGAGAGTGGTGAAGTTTGTCCAAATTCTGAGTGAACGGAAAAGTCGGTTGGTTGGTCGCTTCATGTGCGAGCGAGCGAGCGCCGTTCTGTTACCCCGTGATAATTTTTTTTGTGTGTGAAAGGGAGAGTGGACGAGAAAGTTAAATAACCGCTTGGGAGTTCTCGACTGGAGTATAGTTAACATCGGAGGGGTGAGAAAACACTTGTGGAGTACGGTTTACAAAGTTTCTCATCTACACAAAGTTCGGAGCGGATACAGCAAATTCGCTCCTTATTGGATTTGAATAACATTTGAGAGCACCCTTACTTCTGTTGACGTGGTGAAGTGAGACATCTTTCATCGTTGGGAGTTCACTGTTGTTTTTAACTTACAGTATCTTTCACATTGCTTTTTTCATTCTCTTTATTTCTTTTTGTGGTTTAAACATATTTCCCTCTTTTCAGAGAGGGGTTTGTGTTGATCCTCAGGGAGATGTAAACAAAGTGCACGTGGTTTTCTGTCTTAACGATTTTTTGTTCAGAGAAGTTACTTATTTTGTGGAGGGAGGAATTATTCCTAGCTACAACTGCAGAGTTTCTCAGATCTGAAAAAGGTGTTTACTCTCAGTTGCAGTGGACTTAACAAGGAGAAGAAGTTTCTCCAAATATCAGGTAAGTTGATCAATCAATTTAGGCCTTCTACTTCGTATTTTAAGTTCCTTATATCTGTGATCATTTTAACCTTTCTTTCGTCCGTATTTGAGGTGTATTTGAGTCGGTGTATATACGCGCATCTAAATTGCATACATACACTGATATATAATGATAATATGTGTGCCTTATATACATGTAAAATAATAATAATAATATTAATAATAGTAGTAGTAGTAATAATAATAATAATAATAAAAATAATAATAATAATAATAATAATAATAATAATAATAATAATAATAATAATAATAATAATAAAAATCCTCTGCAGTCGTTTAGTAAGTTAGTCTTCTCATGTGCATACTGCAAAAGATCCGATAAGTTTAAAGCAAGGTCTCACTGTGACTATTTTTATTTTTTATTGAAATCTGTCTACAAAACAGCGTGTAACAACATTAAAGCTAGATCTAGTACAAAAAGTGTGTTCATTGCAATGAACAGTTGTCAAGGAGAGAAGTTTGAAAATAGTTTGTTTTTGGGGGGGATTTTTGTAAGAGTTTTACGGCACTTTCAACACAATAAGGTTATATAAGTGCAGAAGATTAGAGGTGTTACAGGGGAGTAGCAAACACAATCAGAAGGAGGGAAGATAAAGACGACAGATGTTTGATAGGAAAGAAGGAGCAAACCACACCAGAGCACCCGCCAACCACAAACGCAAATAGTTTCCCCTGCTTTAGTAGAGTGGGGTTTGTCTTAATCTTAGAACAGAATCTGCCGTTCATTCACTTACTTTTAGAGCAAACATAGACATAAGTGTACCTTCAAAGAGGCAGTGTATGTCTCAACACTAGAAATAGACCCTTCAACGGATACGAAGAGGAGTGCTTGGGTTTTAGTAGGAGTCAAGGGGTTTTGGGTGATCGTAATCCTAACAGTTTTCAGTGGCACAATAATTAGGGAGAGAGCCGTAATCATCACAGAGGAAGCATCCAAAACTGGGGAGGTCTTTCCGTAACGAGCGAACACTATGAACAGGGGGGGGGGGGGTGTTCGTAAGAGTTCGACGGCACTTTTTTTGCAACACGCTTAGGTCATATAAGTGCCAAAGATTAGAGGTGTTACAAGGGAGTAACAAACACAAAAAAAGAAGGAGGGGAGATAAAGGCGATAAAATGTTTGATAGGAAAGAAGGGGAAAACCACACCAGAGCACCCGCCAACCACCCACGAACAGGGTTTGGGGTATAGGTAGGGTTAGGGTAGGGGTAAAGGTAAGGGTAGGGGATGTGTCAGGGTTAGGTTAGTCTACGGTTAGATCTAAGATCTAGATCTAGGTCTCTTCTTTATTTGTGTTTGTTGGGGTGGTCGCTCCTTTCGGAAGTCCTTCCAAAAACAAAAACTGCGATAACAGGTTTTAACACTCCACAGAAAGATCAATAATAACCGAAAAGAGCAGTCACAATAACAACGTTTTGCAAATTGAGAGACAAATTGAGAGAGAAAGAGAAATGTCTTTAAAATTCATCGAAACACAATGACAAAATCATAAATCTAATGTACAAAAACAATGGAGATATCTCTACCACAACCACCACGAACAACAGCAGCAACAACAATAACAACAGCAACAACAACAGCAACAGCAAGCACTACCTCAACAGCAACAACCACAATAATAATAACAACAACAGCAACAGCAACAGAAGCAGGATCAATAGCAACAGCATCATCAACAACAGCAGCAGCAACAACAACAGCAGCAAAGCAACAGAAATAACAACAACAACAACAACAACAACAACAACAACAACAACAACAACAACAACAACAACAACAACAATAACAACCCACCGACAAAAATATCACCAATTCTGTAGCATGAACAGGATTAATTACTGCGATACCAACTGTCTAACGACCATAGCCCTGACAATAACGACAACAAATAAATAAAACAATAAATACTTAAGTGTCGGCAGTAACATTATCAAAACCTGGAGCAAGACGTGTCTAATTAGCAGAACAGAGCCGTGGACTCTGCGCGTGGCATGCGGAATGAAGAAGGCATGGAAATGTCAAAAATACAGCAGTTGCTCTTGTCAGGAAGTAATGGTAATTAATTATCCAGTTCTCGCTTCGGTGAAAGTTGTCGTCTAGCAAACCTGGGCTGACCGACTTTTCTTTTGTCCTCTAGTTGAATTTTACATCATGTACACCCAGTAACTGTAAAGTAGGAGGTTTTCTGGTAAAAGTTTTAGAACGTCTTCATGTTGATCAATTTGGTGTAACAAGTATTGTGTGGACTCCTCGCCCCCCCCTCCTACCCCCCCCCCCCCTCCTTATGGAATGCACACAAAATAAGTTTACCTACTGATACTCGTATATCTACCCTTGATCTTGCAGCAAGAACCATTAAACAAAGTCGACAGCGATTCTAGCGATAGCGAAAGTTTGGCGGATTTAAATTGAGTTTAGTTATTCTTTTCTGCGGGAAACTATGTAGGTGATAGATTACTCTGCTGTCCTGTCCTACCAAGAGTAGGCTTTGGCCGCCACCAGGGCAAAATTCAAAATTTCCTACCAACTAAAAAAGTTTAATGTGTCCTGCGCACTTATATGACCTTATGCAGTTGCAAGCGCCGTAAAACACTTACTAAAACGAAAACTACCTAAAAAGGCACAGCTTTCCCACTTGTGAGGTGTTAGGAACACGCCACAAGCTCACTGTTGTTGGAGAGACATCTTCTACTCCTACTTACTTTCTTCTCTTCATGATGTGTCATGTCAACCTATTAACCAAGAGTTATGTCAGGCAAGAACCACTAGATCTAGACATTCGATACCCGGTCTTCAAAATAACCTTCTTGTGTTGAAACAGCGCTATGCTGAAGCAAAATTAAAAGGGGAAAAAAAACACATAGAAAAATGGTTACCCTCATTTACCGTTTAAACATTCCGTTCGTGTCAAAACTGTTTCTTAAATATGCGTTAATTAAGTTTTGACTTTTGGAGGATTTAGGCCTTGCACTTGAAAAACTGAATCGTCTTGAACGAAGCATCCTTATTATTCCACTCTCAAACCTTTGATACAGAAACCCAAGGACAATGTGGGTAATATCCTTAAGATTCGTCATGGAGATAGAACGTCTTAAGTCTAAGGTTTCGCAACATTATTACACTTGCTGTAGATCGTTCTTTGCCGCTTTACAAAGTTTTTGACACTCCTCACCGGGGAGGTAATTGGATCCTGAGGGGAGGGAGCGGAGGAGAGAGGTGTTCACGCAGGTAAAAATGTACTCCATGTGATGACCTTACAGTACGGGAACTTGCCTGCTTAAGCTTTTGTACATTAAAAATATGTTAACACTTTTAGAGCCAAGTGGGCTGAGAGCCTTGAAAACTCCTCAAATCGACTCGAGTTCAAGAATAACCAGTTGCAGTTGGGGAATCGAACTAGGACCTCAGTTTGTAAATCAATATAATACTAACTGATTTAACAAAATAATATTTATTTATTCAAACATATCTTTCTATCTGTCTATCTATCTGTCCATCTATCTATCCATCTCTCTATCTATATGTCTGTCTATCTATCTATCTGTCAATCTATCTCTCTCTCTGTCTCTCTGTCTGTCCCTCTCTCTCTCTCTCTCTTTCTCTCTCT